ATAATGAGGCGTATGGGAGTATGTGTAAGCTTGGTAATGAAGGGCTCAACAGGGAATGCCAGGAAGAAAACAACATGGAGGTTCCTGGGTTTTTTCAGCAGGACAGTGGTCGGGAGTTATCACTATGGCTGTGGTGCAATTAAAACGCAGAGAAATGAAGATACCCCAACAAGACTAGGAACCTGCCTAACAGCCTCCACGTGAAGTTGCAGCTGGAGACCCTCAGGGTGTGCAGGAAGTACAGAAGACTCAGAGTTTATCAGCCTCTGTGTCATTTGCTTCAGATGGGCAATACATTGCTGCTGCAGACTGTAGATGTCCTGAGACACTGTCTCAGAACCATGCCAACTGCTGGAATGGGACCTAAGACCTGAAAACATGGGTGCCATTGCATCTCAATGGTCGAGGCAACAGCTGTACAAAACAAAAAGCTAATGCAACTGGCTGCTTCCAAAGATCCACTGGGGACCTGTGTGGGATCTCACAACACAGCCTCAAACATATCAAGGTAGGTGAAATAACTCCAGAGGCCAGTATCCCATCACCAAGTCACCATTTATTTCTATGTGATCCGGCTTCCTCAGAGCCAGCTGTCAAAAGGTTCTGTTCACTCTGACATTTCTGTTTATATATGTCAGCCAAGACTCCCTGTTTGGACCAATTTAACAGCCCCATTCGGAGTACTCTTATTCTATGAGATCCACTTGGCTCACCTTGTTACAATCACTACAGCAGGTACCAACTCAACTTGCGCCAGATCACACAGCTTCATCTCATTTTTCCCTGAAGAGGTCAGTGCTACAGTGCAGGCAGTAGGCTTTGGAAACATAGCTGGCTTGCCCCAGGTAAAACTCTACAGAGGTTGCACTGCGAGTGCTATATCACAACACAGCTAACTTCATCAAGAGAAAAGAATTCCATTCCATCAATATACAGGTTATCTATGATCATTGGAACCATACTTCAGGACTCCATGCCAGATACTGTGGATGCTGCCAAAATGCCTCTATTCTTAAGAATTGTCATGTTCCTGCTTAAGTTTCAAGGGCCTGGTGCCTTACAAGGATGGTTACTGAAACCCAAGGATTAATTTCAAAAACCATGGCTAACGACTCTGTTGCCATGCCACTGATTGAGATAGTGTGTAGATACAATGTTGCCCATTCTTTGAGCTGGGTCACCACGAAGCAGATGACTGGACTGCAGAACGTAGGGTTCCGATGCTTTGATTGATCTGGGGGAGCTTGCAGTATACTCCAGATAATGCGTGCTAGACTCTGAACAACTGGAGAGTAGCCCCAGTCTTTCAAGGAGTAAGATGAGAATATTGAGCAGGAGGAATATTATCTTCTGCATGACAGAGCAATGCAATATTGGGCATAAAGCCAGATAGGAGTTAACTCACACCCAGTTCCAACAGACGTGAGCTGGGTACAGTGATCACTTGCTGACTGCAAATATGTTGCTGCCCGAAAGGTAAGAGGTCCCTGTCTAATCCCAGGTGCAAATGCAGCTTTGTTAATTTTTCTTTACTTTGACTATTGTTGAATAAAAATGAACGTTTTCAAACATTTGAAGACATTCCAGTATATGATGGCCTTACGTTGATCAATGAGATGATATTAGGCTACACTTGGCATTAAAGGAAAGGATGATTCTCTTAGACAGTCTTCTGAGATGGGACGATGCTAAGGACAAGTAACTCATGAACCTTGGTTCTTAAGTAAGAATACATTTACAAATATGCACTTATGTTTGCAATAAACAATCATCTGGATTTGTTTATTGCATAAGGAAGCCATCAAGAACTCAGGGAGAGAATCCTCCATGAAACTTGCTAAAATTGACACTTAGCTGATTTTGGTACAATACAACCCATATATTGAGAAGAAATTTCAATAATTACTGTTGTTGTGCCAAAAATTTCAATCATTATTCTTGTTATGCCAAAAATTACACCTATTCGGTCTGCAAATTACTCAGTAGCCAATGCTGTTTTCTTTTAACTAATGCACTTTATCAATAAAAATAATATATATAAATGTTCACTGTATAATTAATGCTCTCCACATTTACTCAAAGAGCTATTAATGCTGTCATACACAAAAAAAAACTTACCTTCTACAAATTTTTGTTGGCCATTTTTAACTTAATCATGGAATTCTAGGATAGTCTTAAATTTATCCCATGTTATATCTCTAGAAGGTTACCCACTTGGATATTAGGCTGGCAAGTCTATACTTGTGGCTTAACTGTTTTTGATACATTATATTGCCAACCCTACAGGTTCTCCTGTCACAACTCCTATGCCCATTGATATCTGAGAGATTGGAGTCAAAACCTCTGCTTTCTCTCTCTAACTTTACTCAGAAACATGGAATGTGTTCCATCAAAGCCCAGTATCTTTTTCATTTTAAGATTCAATGTTTTTTGGGACAACTTCCCCAGCTATAATTATCTGATCTAATTGCTCTAACACTTTCACTTGCACTGTTTCATTTAGAAAACCATATTCTGCTGTGATAAAAAGATGAACACCAGAGTTCCAACCATGAAAACAAGAAGTTTTACATGAGCATTAATCACTTGTCTGCAGGAAACTGACAGCAATCTCAGGGGCCTTGTTTTTCTTAAATTGTATTTTCAAAATAAAATTGCACTGAGATCCGTATTGATTAGTGTAACATTCTGAGTCATTGAGTTAGCTTCGTCCTTGCAGCATTGAACCACATAAAGCAACTCTTTTCAATAATTTGGATCTGTTTCTGCAGATTGTGGAAAAAAAACAATATAGTTTTAAGTTTAGAAAAAGATTTCTTCTCCAGCACCTTGTGCATGCATTTGAAGGCAGCACTGAGAGCATCTGTAAGAAGGCTGTATTTGGCAGAGCATGGCATTAAGGACCGCTTAGAAAATTAGTGGTGGTTTAACCTGAGGGTCATTATGCCTCAGGTGAGGGGCAAGGTTGAGAGGGCAGTCCTTCACGGTAAGCTTGACTGGTGCAGGATTTGAATCCATGCTGTTGGTGAAACTCTACATTCACAAACCAGCCATCCAGCCAACTGAAATAACCGACCTGCTACCTATCCTATGACACATTCAGAAATTTGTGAATATCCATCCCCAGCTCCCTCTGGTCTTGCATCCACCTCAAAATCCAACAAAGTAGTTTATATTGCATCACAATACCTTTCTTCCCAAACTGCATCACTTCAAACTGATTTACATTAAGTTGCGTCTGCCATTTGTGTGCCCACTCACCAAAGCAGATTGGTATTTGTGCAGTCTGCCATCATCCTCCTCACTATTTACTACATTTCTCATAATAGTACAACAGTACTGTTTACTTCAAAACAATACTTCCAATTCCAAGTCACTTACATCCATCAGGAAAGGCCATGGTCGTAATATTGATTCTTGAAAGGTCCTGTAGCATACATGTCACCAGTATTAAACCTTGGTTATGTTGTTCTCTATGACAAATTGTACAATAATGCTTACTATCACATTAATCACACATGGAGGAAGCAGCATGCTACTACGGGATAATAGGTTAAATCTAACAGCAACATCTGACATCCACATATGCACAGGGAAGCACAGAATTCTGGAAGTTATTGTTAATAATACCCCACACCTCTACATGGTATCATGTTTTATCTTTGACAGCAGAATCTACACAAAAATAAATGTAACGTCATGGACTTAGGTAAACTGTCTATTTGCTTTATATTAAAATGGCCGAAAAAGCTAAGGCTGCTCTGTTCAATAGAAAGTAAGTTTTTAAACAGTATAGTAGATGACAAGGGAATAATTACTAGAAACAATCTCTGTGGTTCTGAAAAAAACACATTTTAAAATGCATGGAGTCTCATCCCCTCAGAAGAAAATTAATATTGCACACTTTTCAAACATGCATAGTATTTGTTTTTTTTTTCTTCCTTAAACTTTCTTTCATTTCACCAGCCGTACAATGATTTAAGCACAATGTAAATGTGTTTTGCTTCTTGGTTTACTGCCTGCAATTCTCAATCCACATGATTGAAGAGCATCAAGCACACAAAATGACTGTGGTAACTGTATATAAGATGAACTTCCGTCATCTCTGAAAGGAAAACCTGGACCAACAGTTCTCCTTCTATAAGTACTCTGTTGTTTTTAAATGCTGCATCTGAAGGCAATTTTATTCAGCACATTTGCTGTAAATCAAAGACCTTGTGGTGCCAGGAATATAACCTGACCAATTATTCAATCATGTGGTAGCTATATAGTGGAGGTTTTCATGGGGCAGATGAAATTGCATGGAACAAAGGCATGTGTTAAAGTCAATAGTTTTACTGTTCCTCATGAGAAAATACAGGAATTACAAGATTATTACAATTGAGACAAATGCTTACACAAACTCAATGGGCCATGGAATCAACTGACCAGTCAGATGTGAAGAAAAGAATAAACCGAAATGACAATTGAACTACAAGCCTCTGAGATCCTTAAAAACTTTTACATGTTAATCAAATTTGAGCTTTCACGTTAGAGAGTGTGAATGGCACTTTGGACAATCACTCAACGTCAATGAGCATAAAGTCAAATAATAATCTCCATATTTTAGAGAAATCACGAACTTGACCAAAGAATTTAACAATCAAGTAACAGAAGTGAATTTCAAGTCACACCTACTCCAGACATGTGTCATAATCGTCTGAATAGATTGATTAAAAGTATCTAGCCTGTGAATACAGACACATTTGAAGTTCTCATTTTTTTTAAAAGGCAGCTAGTTGTATGAGCTCTCTGGTGCTAAAAAGGAATGTATTAACACATAATTGTGAAATCTAGATCAAGAGTAAAAAGGTCCATAATAAAGTTTGCCACTAAATAGTAATAAGCTAATTAGATAAGTAATAGTTGTATTGTAGAAAACTTCAAAAAAACCTGTCAACTGAGAGAAAATGAAAATGAAAAGAATAAGGCAAATAAGGAGTTTTAATTTTTTCACTTACTTTTACAAAAAAAAGTTTTGATGATGTCATTCACGTGAAATATGAATTCCATTTCTCTCTCCACAGTTTCTGCCTGACCCATGAATATTTCCAGCACTGTCTTTATTTCATATTTTAAGTATTTGCTTTCTTTCTGGCATTTGTCATTTATTTATTAAAATGCGTGTGTATTGATGGACATTATTCCAAATGGATTCATAATGGTCGAGGCGTACTTCACAGGCTGTACCTGAGGGGAAACAAAGAGCTGAATTTTACTTCAAGCATTCAGACTCCACCTTCAGAGTTAAACAAAAACAGCAAGTCCACAGTTGGCAGCAGTGGGATCACTCAGTCGAGTTAAGGTTGTGGGCAGGATCCTGCATATGGCCAGTGTCATCAGAAAATCAGTTGAAATTCTAGCAGTATTTAGGAGAGGTGGGTGCCAACAAGGCAGATCAGAAATCTTGAGGTTGCATCAAAATGGAGTTGTCCACAAACAGGTATGTAAATAACCAGAGGACAATGGGCTCTGTGGACAGATAGGAACCCCCTCCAAGGAGTAATTAGTGTGACAAGAGTCTGTTGTTCACATCTGTAGTTTACCTCTTTGGGCCAGCAAGCCTCCAGCTCCAACGTACCATGAGTTGTTGCAGGAGAGCCAATTCCTGCCAATGTATTTCCAGACCATTAAATGGTTCCTAAATTGAGCAATACGACATAGGAACATAGCACTTAAGAGTTGAATTAGGCCATTTGGCTCTTCAAATGGTGGTGAGGGAACCAATAAAAAGAAAAAAAAATCTCCTTGACATTGTCCTGTCTCAGATGTATCTGTCCACAATAGCATAAGTAGGAGTGACCACTGCACAGCCCTTGTGCAGATGAAGTCCCATCTTCACACTGGGATACCTTCCATCATGTTCAGTGGCACTACCCCTTTGCTAAATGGGGCAGATTTTGAACAGTTCTAAAAACTGAGCATCCATGAGGCACTGCGGGCCATCAGCAGCACAAAAATTGTACTTAACTACAACGTGTAACATCATAGTTCAATATATCTCTCACTCTACCACTGCCATCAAGCCACAGGCTCAACCCTAGTTCAAAGAAGAGTGCAGGAGAGCATGCCAGTAGGAGCATCAGGCATATCTATAAATGAGGTGTTACCCCAGCGAAGGTGCAAAACAGGACTACATGCAAGTGACACATGCAGAATAATAACCTGCTTGCTGATACTCAGTTTGGCTTCTGGAAGGGCTGCACAGCTCCTGTCTTCATTACAGTTTGGTCCAAAAACAGGCAAAGGAGTCAGACTCCTTGACTCCGAGATAGTAGGAACTGCAGATGCTGGAGAATCCGAGACAACAAGGTGCAGAGCTGGATGAACACAGCAGGCCAAGCAGCATCATAGGAGCAGAAAGGCTGACATTTTGGGCCTAGACCCTTCTTGACTCAGCCCTTGACATTCGGTATCATTTGACCAAGTACAACATCAAGGAGCCCTTGCAAAATTGAAGCCATATAAATACTGTGACTAGAAGAATAAGTCGGGGCTAGGAATTCCCAAAGGCTCAAAAGTCAGGAGTGTGGTAGAATACCCTGCATTTGCCTGGATGGGAGCAGATCCACCACTCTAGAAGCTCAATACCATCCAGGACAAAGCAATCTGCTTGATCAACATCTTCCAAACCAATTACCTCTATCACCTAGATGCACAATGGCAGTAGATGCATGGGAAAGCTACAACTGCAAGTTCCTTTCCAAGCCACTCATCGCCCTGACTTAGAAATAAGTTCACCATTTCCTTCTGTGTTACCAAGTCAAAGTCCTGGACCTCCCTTTGTAAAAGCATTGCAAGTGTTTCTGAACACCTGTAATCCATGGTGTGTAAGAAGGCAGCTCACCATCATCTTTATAAGGGTGATTAGGGATGGGCAATAAATGTTGGCAAATGTTGGCCTACCCAGTGATACTCACCTTGAATGAGCAAACAAAAATGCCTGCTCCTACCTGTCCCTCAGGGGCCTTTACTCTATAATATCTGTCCAATTCTGCCTTGAATAAGTTCAGTGACACAGCTTTCTGGCTATGAGAATTTCATGTACTAACAACCCCTCAGAGATAAAAGAAATCCTAATTTCCATCTTAAAACTGTGTTCATTATTGTACTCTTCTGCCACAAGAAGATACATTCTCCTGATAAACAGCCTGTCAATTCCTCTCAGGCTTGTATATGTTTCAGTAAGATCACCTTGCATTCTTCTTAATAGAGTCAGAGTAATACAGCATGGAAACAGGCCCTTCGGCCCAAACTGGTCCATGCTGACCATGGTGCCCACTCAGCTTGTTACAACTGCCCACATTTGGTCCATTTCCCTCTAAACCATTCCCATCCACGTACCTATCCAAATGTTTTTTAAATGTTGCTAATGTACCCACCTCAATCACTTTCTCTGGCAATCTGTTGGCACAATTAAAGTCTCTCACTCACTAAATTTCACTCAACTCATTCCTGGCATGAGGGGTATTCTCTAATGAGGAAATGTTGGACGGGTTGAGCCTGTATCCCATGGCACCAAGGTAGGACTTATGCAGTAAGTGGTAAGGCCCTGAGGAGTGTTGTGGAACGGAGGATCCTAGAAGTACAAGTACATAGTTCATTGAAAGTGGCGTCACAGGCAGCCCATTCCATATATGCACCACTTTCTGCATGAAGAAGTTGCCCCTCAGGTCCTTCTTAAATCTTCCCCCCCCTCACCTTAAACTTATGCCCTCTAGTTTTCAATTCCCCATCCCTGGGAAAAAGACTATATGCATTCATCATAACTACGCCCCTCATGATTTTATACACCCTTCATTCTCCTACATTCCAAGGAATAAAGTCCTATCCTGGCCAACCTCTCCCTATAACTTAGGCCTACTAGTCCTGGCAACATCCTCAAATCTTCTTTGCACACCTTCCGGTTTAACTATGTCTTTTTGGGTGACCAAAACTGCACACAGTACTCCAACTGCGGCCTCAGCAATGACTTATACAAGTGTAACATAGCATCTCAACTCCTATACTCAATGTCTGTAACGATGAAGGCCAGCATGCTAAATACCTCCCTCACCATACTGTCCACCTGTGACGCCACTTTCAATGAACTATGCACTTGTACCCCTAGGTCCCTCCGTTCCACAACACTCCTCAGGGCCTTACCAGTTACTGCATAAGTCCTACCTTGGTGCCATGGGATACAGGCTCAACCCGTCCAACATTTCCTCATTAGAGAATACCCCTGATGCCAGGAATGAGTCGAGCGAAATTTAGTGAGTGAGAGACTTTAATTGTGCCAACAGATTGCCAGATACTATGGAGCAGATAGCTAATCCACCTGCTGCCCACTGCTTGGCAACTCCCCTGCAACAGGACATTATGGCCACGGTTCCCCATTATTTTACTGACTCATCGCCTCCATTTCAGCCACGCCAAGGCCTGTAAAATTCAGCTCAAAATAGCTTTTTCCAAATTTCCAACAGTATGTTCTGTTTGCAATAGTATTTGCAACAGGGAGTGTCTGTAAATGGAAGGGTGTTTTCTCCCCACCCATTATTCATTCTGTGACTGCACAGATTTTTAGAGTTGATTTTATTTTAGAATATGATTTACAGTTTGACTTTTTTGGGTACAGCCCATTTCTGACAGAGGTATCAAACAACTGCTTTGTTTTTTGGTCAGGGGGACAGAAAAGAGGAAGGAGGGAAGGCAATTTAAAACAACCAAAGTTAAACCCGGAGAGTGAAGAAAAGACAAATAATGTGAAAAGTATTCAAAATCAAAGTTTCCAGATACAACAAAAACAGTTAGCAACTACAAAGGAAGGAGATTGAAATGTTCAGCTGAAAACAAAGAATCCTTCATTACAAGTTAAGATCATTTCTTGTGCCATTTGATATGAAAGAAACAGGTAGTGGCACTTATTCTTAAACGAAAATTAAGCATGAACAAAAACAGAAGTTGTTGGAAGTTCAGCAAGTCTGGCAGCATCTGTGAAGAAAAAAAATCAGAGTTAATGTTTCAGGTCTGGCCCAGTTCTGAGGAAGAGTCACTGGACCTGAAACATTAACTCTGATTTTTTCTTCACAGATGCTGCCAGACCTGCTGAGCTTCCAGCAACTTTTGTTTTTGCTCCTGATTTACAGCATCCGCAGTTCTTTCAGATTTTTATAAGAAAATTAAGCATTCCTAGGCAGAGTAATGTTGATGAAATCACAAGAGAAACTGGATGAAGAAGTCCATCAAATACATCTGCATTTCAGAATATCCATTTTGATTTTAGTATCTTGCTGTTTTCCAGTACAGTTTCCTGCTGTTAGCAAATCATACCAACTTGTTCCAGGTACTCATTACTTAATAAACTTTGCAATGGTGGACTAGTGGCTTCTTGTCCCGCTGCTCTTTGTTACATGAAAATATTTTTGAATTTACTCTCTCTGAAGATAAATTTCCTTACAACTCTCCACTAAAATATCATTTTAAGAGATGGAAGATGCAGAGCTTATCATGTTGCTCTCTGGCTCTCTTCCTTCTGACACGGAAGAATCAGTTTTGCTGTTCTCCTTTACTACATCTAAGGCTCGGTTGCCTCAAGCTTTTAAAGGAGGAATATATATGGTGCTTTCAAATATATTGCTTAAATAAATATAGTGGTGTCCACAGTAAAAGCTGCAGTAGAACAGGAATCAAGATCAGTCTGACTGAAATGGTCTTATTCCCAATTGGTTTCTGGGATTAGTATATTTGAATGAAATAGGAATCAGCAATGCTAGCCTGAGCACATTTTGGGCACCTGCATGCCGACAAGAGTGAAAGAGAATGAAATAAACTATGTTGATGCTGACTTGTACTCAGTTCAAAACCAACAGACCCAGCTACAAAGTTCTCAAGATCTTCTAATTAGCAGAATTGCAACTGCATTCAATCTTCTAGACCATTCCAGACAAACACGTAATCCTGTGGAGTCATCCTCCTCAAGTGGTGTACCCCTTCACTTTTCCAGCTTCCCATACATTAGAATGGCATTGGTCCTTTAGTGTCCAATAGTAGACAGTGTCATCTCATCAAACCCATCTCTTTAA